GGCGCTTGGCGGGGACGCGCGCGGGGCGGCGCGGGCACGCGGAGAGATTGTTGGAGACTTTGGTGTGGACTAACTTCGTGCGGGGCCTACTTCCTGCTGACGCGGGATGGAAATGGACATTCTGGAACGCCGCTGTGGCTTTTGCTCACTTCTTGTAAGTGAAAGTGGTTCGGGCTCCAGTTTTTGTTCCGCTTTGTTTCCTACTGAGATGGAGACTCGCGCTATATCCGCCTCGCCACGCCTCCAGCCCAGGCCTCGCGCTTTTAAAACGCCTCGGTAGCTCCCGCGGCGGTGGTCGCTGGTCCCCGGGCGGAAACGTTCCCGGGCCCGGTGAGGGCGCTTGCCTTCCTAGCGGGCGGCCGAGTGGGGGCATCCGGGGTAGATCGATCCGGAGCCCGGGGCCAGGCCGCCTCCCCGAGTCCGGCGTGGACCGACCCGGGATGGCAGGGTCCCCTCCTCCACGCACCCCCCCCCACCCGCGGCAAGCCAAGGTCTTGCCAAGGTCTTACACCCTCTGTGGCTGTCACATACACACATACACACACACACCGAGGTATAGGAGCGACTCTGGAACACACAGCCCCGTCCCCCCCCCCCCCCCCCCGCAACGCCGCCTTGGTCCATGCACCGTCTAGAGCCCCATTGGAGCAAGACCACCTAAAGCCTGTGCTCAGCGAAAACAGCCCTCTCTATTCTGCCATCCTCAGCAGCACGAGCCACGCTTCCAAGGAAGGGTTCTTTTTCGGATGGCATCAATTAGATTTTAATGGATGTTAAAATACAGAGAGGGTGGCCCTGTCTGTAATGATGGAGACCAAATGGTTTTTGTAATTTGCAATTTTTCCAAATTTGGAGTCTTTACGTATACATGAGATATCTTGGAAATCGGATCCAATTTTAAACACGAGTTTATGTTTCTTCAACACATGAATGTAATTTTATACAATATTTTAGTAACTGGGTTCGTGAAACAAAAGGTTTCCGGGTGTGAATTTTGTCTCAAAAAATAGTAAATGTTGAGCATTTTGCTTGGTATTTTTGCTATATGGCAGATTGAACCCAGGGCCTGTAGCTGTGATCCCTATCATTGAGCCATATTTGTCTTTTTGCCTTATTTCTCAGAATGGATCTCACTGACTTTTCTTAGGCTGTCCTCAAGCCTTGATTCTCCTCTGTCTGCCTCCTGAGCAGCTGGGGTTACAGATATTTCAACAACAACAAAAGACACCGCTGATTTTGATCTCCAGGTTTCAGTTTACAGATACTCAACCTGCAATTAGGTCCAACTTCTAGAGTACTTGATGTCTTCAATTACATTAAGATATTGTACTTTAAAATACACATAAAGCTCAGCGCTGTAATCCTAGCTACTCAGAAGGCTAGGTGTGAGGATTCAGTTTGAAGCCAGCCACTGTAGGAAGAGTCCCTGTGAGACTCTCATCTCCAATTAACCACTCAAAAACCAGAAGTGGTGTTGACTCAAGTGGTAGAGCACTAGCCGTGAGAACAAAGAGGCTCAGGGACAGCACACAGACCCTGAGTTCAAACCCCACAACTAACAACAACAAAAGACACATAAATACCGTGGTTAATTCTCACAATTATTCTGTTATTAAAATACATCAGTAATTTCTTCTCTAACAGTGCAAGATATTGTGACTATTTTTTTCACTGAATTCCCATTCCATTTCTCCACAGAATTTTACATTTATACGCTAACATATTGTGTCTTTTTTTAAAACAGAGCTGATTTTATTACTCACCTCCGTGCTTTTCTTAGCTTTAAAGATGAATTCAGTGAAAAGATTCTACTTTCTCAATCAAAGAAAAGTCTATGTGGTGCCCTGACCCTAAATTCAATCCCCACTACTAGCACAAAAATAATTAAAATAAATCAAGGCCTCTGAAGTACTGCATTGTCGCTCAATCACTTGAGCCATGCCTTGAGCCTCCAACTTATTTTTTGAGATAAGGATCTCACTAACTTTTGACTTGACCCTTGATTTTTCCCATCTCTGCCTCTCTGGAAAGAGTTCTAATACTTTTATGCTTTCTAAATGTGTTTGGAATGAAGTCAGTGTGTCTATAATATTAGAAATGACCTATAATATTAGGAATGACAGACATTATTTCAGTATTTAGTGCTATTCACAATACATTTTTTTCTTTAGTAGTATAAGAGATAAATGATTCAGTGTTTGGTTAGGAAAGATAAAGAACCTTTCTTGTAAGCACATAGCTGACATCAGCAAATCTAAAAGAGGGAATGATCCATAAAGACTGTCTAAAGCCTTATTTTCCTAACATGGGAGATAGAATGATTGGCCATGACAGAAAAGCACTATTGAAATGAGTAAGTGTTAACTTGGTCACCAACAAATATGTAGTTGAGCAATGGCAGAATGAAAGGTTATGGCTCTGGTAGACTGTGTTTGTCCAATAGACTCCTTTCCCATAGCCCATGCTTCTTTCCCAGAACCTAGAAAGCACTTCCCAGAGAGTTCATCACTAGGCCTGTTTGGTGCAGGCAGTAAATAGAGCACCAGGCCCATTTGGTGCTTGCAGCTAATCATGGGCCTCCTCTCCCCTTTACCTTGAGATGGCACTCCATTGGGGAAGTTACAACCATTTAAGGTTAACAAGAAACCCAGCCCTCCAGTGACCTTCAGTCTGGGCAGCTGCAGCCCCTTATCTACTATTGGGCAGCTGCCATAAATCCTAGTCCACCATGATGAAGCCCCTGGGCCACACATCCACATCAAAGTTCCCATCTCCTGGCCCCTCTAGGTTATAAAGGTCACCTCTGATACTGATCCATGCTGCTTCTCCTGTGTGAGAAAGAGCCTTGCCAGTCCCTTTGCTGGCAATAAACCTTTCTTTGTCCTATGTGCTTGGGTGTCTGTGTGGTTTTCTGGAAGGGCCTAACAGCAAGGCCACTTGTAAGGTAATGGATGCCTTTTCCATTTCCATAAGCATGAACAATTTTGAACTTCTGCCCTCTTTCAATTAGGCAATTAGAAAGTTAGTGAATGTGGCTTTCCATGTCAAAAAGAGTCAAACAATTTGTGGAGGGGAAGGGGGAAAAACAAGTCATTTAGGGATACAGGTGGACCCATCGCAACAATGAGAAGTACAAGTCATTATGTTGATAAGAAATGTACTCATTATCTTGCCCGTGTAATTGTAACCCCTCTGTACAGTATTTTCACAATAAAAAATAAAATTAAAATAAAAAAAATAAAAATAAAAAAGAGTCAAACATAGTTGTCATTTTTTTAATCACTTGTATCTGTCAGGATATCCAGGGAATGCTACAATAACATCAAGCCCCAAATCTCAATGCTCTCATACAATCCAAATGTATTTCCACTTAAACTACAGATGCAAAGAGGTGGGATCCTTTAACAGTTTATGTAAACAATAAAATCAAGTATGAAAAAGTAAAAAGAATCAATAGATATGATATATCTAACTATATATATGGAAGAAAAGATCTATTTTGTGTAGGATTACTGTTAGCCAATGAGCTGCTTTCCCATTGCTTAGTATGCGTCTTCCTTCTCCACACCTAAGCATGCTCCCTTCCTAGGCAACACTAGGACCATTTAGTAGAGATAATAAATAATCAGCTCCAATACCCCTTTACCTTGTGCACTTCTCTGGGGCAGCTACCACCATATAAGGCAACAAGAGTCCCTTAGAGTGACCTTTAGGTTTGGGCAGTTGCAAGGCCCTTATTTACTATTTGGGCAGCAGCCATAAATCCTAGTCTGCCATGATGAAGCCCCTGGCCCTCACATCTACACAAGGGTCTCTGCCTCCTAACACCACCTAGCCCCTCCTAAACCTCCTAGGTTATATCGGTCACCTCAGACAATAAACTCCACTTCTTCTCACTTCTCCCTTGTGAGAAGGGGTCTTGCCGGCCCCTTTAGTGGCAATAAACCTTTTCTTTGTTCTTTGTACCTAGATGTCTGCATGGTTTTCAGGCAAAATCTAAAATATTCTAGCAATCACTTATAAGAACAGTAAATAAATACATAAATAGAACATTTTACGTTTTGAGGGGCTTGAACTCAAGGTCTGAGTGCTTGTCCCTTAGCTTATTTGTTATTTGCTCAAGGCTAGCATTCTACCACTTGAGCCACAGCTCCACTTGACAATTCAACTTTGTATTTTTAAAAATGTAAGTGAAC